TTTCAGAAATTTGTCATCTTCCACTTACTACAATAGCCCAAAATGCAGCAAGTTGTGTATGAAAAGGCAGGAAGAGAGCTCATCAGCTGCATGAGAATGAAGGACAAGAGACCATCAGAGCAATCTAAGTGGACACAGATGCTCAGGCTGCCTGGTTCTGTGGCCTTCAGTTTGTTTTCCTCTCTCTGTATTAAAGTAACTTATTAGTTATGGCTAGTTTTAATTTATTTTATATATATATATTATATATATATACAAACACACACACATATACATATATAATCCCAAATTGCCTTTCAGGGAAAGCACTGGCATCTGTCTTCCTGTTGTACTCTGCACGGATCAGCTTGTCACTCTGTCTTGGGTTTCTCCCCCTTTTTGGCACACTGAAGCCAAACAGCATGTGTAAAACCAGCAGACAAATCTAGGGGCTCCTTGTGGGAGGAATCAGGGTGAGCCCTGATTTGCAGGAGGGATCAGTTTGTAATCAGATGCATGGGAGGCAAAGGGATCTGCAGGCCATGGCTATCCTTAACAGGATTAGCTGTGATATTTTGCTCAATATGAACTTGTAATCAAAAATTAGGGCAAGTGTTTTGCTGAAAAGTATTTGATTGATGATGGTTTCTCAAGGAAGTGTCAGATTGAAAGTCAGAGGTAGTATGCCTTCCTTTGCCTTGTTTTGATAAGGGAGCTTGAGCTGGCGTCTCCTACCTCCCTCACAACTCATGTTTTCAATCCTTTTGTGGGCATCTTTAAAAACCTGCCCTGTGAGACCCAGCACGTGTTCCCTTCCACGAGAACTGACAGGGTCTTGTTTACACGTGCTCATTCCCAGCCTGAACTCTGAGGCATTCCCTCACTGGAGAAAAGTGTATGTCAGGTGCTGCATTTCTCTAAGGGGTGTCCCCAGGAAGCCTTAGCAGAGACCTAAGGCAAATCTGTGCAGTCAGATGTTTGGTTTTGACGGTGCATTTCTGCATGGAAGCGTGAGTACCTGTGACCACCACTGGAGATGACAGAGGAGAAGGCAGGCCAAAGAGTTGAACTTGGGTTTCCACCACGCAGGGAGACAGTGGAGATGGAGTAAGGATGGAGAAGTTCCATGTCTCCAGCACCTTGTGGCTGCTGCCCAGCCACCAGCCCCGTGCCGCGTAGCTGGGCCCCAGCGCCTGGACTGCTTTTCTGGCTGTTTCTCCCCGTCCCCCTTCTCCTGCCGGTGCCCGAGAGGCGGCTCCCTGTCCGTCTGTGGCTCAGGGAGCGCTGGCTGCCGCTTGTTAGAAGAATTCCCCCAAGTCAGACCTATGGTACGAGCCGTGTGAAGCGGAAGACAATTAGGGGCTTATTAGTGTCCTGGGGAGACGTGTAACTTGTGTTGCTGGGACTTACCAAAACAGCGAGAGTCTTACCGGCAAGCTCCAGCCGAGAAAAGACTGAGGGATTGTCTCACCTAATTATGGGGAATGGGCCTCTTTGTGTTTGTGATTCGGTACGGTTGTCCGATCGCTTTTCTCTGGCTGCTGGCTCAGGCCGAGCTGGAAGTGTGCTAATTAGAAGAGAAATGGACGTAGTGATCCTGTCAGCTCTCGTTACCGGCGTGGACAAAGCCGAATATTATTCTGAAGCAGTGTTTTGTGAGTGTCCCCCTTCCAGCTCTCATTAAGGGCAAGGTTGGTGGACGGGGAGGGGACTTGACCACATGGGTTGGCTAATGGAGCACAGTTACCGTTACTGTGCTAATTAACGGGCTCAGGAGGCAAATGTTTCTCCAACCAGCAGTCCCAGCAGCTGCACCTGGTGCTTCCAAAACCCAGCCATCTCACTGGGCAAGCAGGCAAACAAATGTGTGTACCAGCGGAAAGGGACCTGTGACGCATCCGTGCCATCCAAAAGTACAGAAGAACCATTAA